CTCATGAACTAAGTTCTCTTTTTGGTGTGAACGCAAAATCCCAGGAACTATCGGAACTAAACGGGAAAAGTACTCCGGTGTGAACGCGTCTATTAAAGATTCTTTGGGTTTCCTTTTTTTTATTTATCCAAGAGATGCTGATTTGAAAACGTTGTTACGAAAATGTACGGCATTTCCTGTTTCTGCCAGAGAGAGGGGAGTTTGTCCCAAAGCCTCCTGCTGTTTTTACACCCTCCACCTGAAAGAAGGGAGCCTCGTTCAGCTGCGAGTGTGACTACAGACGGAGTTCACTTCATCACTGAGGGAGATTGGGTAGGGTGTGGTTTGGAATTGGTCCATAATCTGTGTGTCTCTGTGTTCTTCAGCTCTCTCCAGGTGGAGGTGATTGTCTCTCTTCTGCCCCTGAAGGTCGACTCAAGGACGCAGACGGTTGTTCTGATTCTCAGCAGCTCGGTGCCCGTCAACTGGGCGATTCATGCGCCTGGTGTCCGGGGTCAAGTTTCTGTTTATGTAAGGGACACATCTCTCCTTTGTATCTGAATTTGTTATCAAAAAAGTATATTTCGTCAGACAACAATCAGATCTGCAGCCACAGCTTCCCTCTAAGAAAGCACATTTTTGTATCGACTTGTAGCTAAAAACTAGACGCGCCGGAGAGGAAGCAGGGCTTATCGCAATAAAGATAGATGACTATCCTTTTGCGATACAGTGTCACGTTAATTTATTTGCACAATTCAACTACAGGAATGTAAAAACCCTTGCAAATCACCCACATTTTCTGTTTTTGTAAGGGCCACCTTGTGTCAATATAGCTTGGTTTGCAATCCGCCCAGCCAATCAGAAATGGGAACCTTTTTCTTCCATGAAAGTACCTGTTCTCTAGCAGGGACTGAAAATGGGGTGAAAAGGTTTTCATGAACTAAGTTCTAGTTCCGGATTTTTTTGGTGTGAACGCACATTTTCTGAACTAAATCGGAACTATACTGGGAAGAGTACTCCGTTGTGAAAGCACCTATTGTGTTCTTCGTAACCAAATATCTCTCAGAGGGGCGTGGGGAGGGGCTCCTTATTTTCATCTAAAGTAACAGACAGAGAATCAGCACTTTTGAAACAGGGCTGAAACAGATGGGATTATGGGTAATTCTGCAATGATCTGTTTGGTGTTTGGAGCCAAACACTTCAGAGACATGTTTTGTATATATCTGAGACCTATAATATATTGATGAAAAACAGTATAATAGGGAACCTTTAACAAAATCACGACAGAAACTACAAAGTTAAGCCACCAACAGATTCAGATATGACTGCAAACTTGGCAAGTATCCTGTTCTGTCTTTTTCCTTGATTATACCTCATAACGTACTCGTCATGATGTCTGTGTATCTGTAGTCCTCCCACAGTGTATCCCCGCCCTACCCAGCAGAGCCAGACCTGACCCTGTCCATCACCCTGACCTCTGACCTCTCCTCAGTACCGGACCTTCTGGTTTGGACCCGTGAGAGTGGACACCCCCATGTGACCTCGTACACTGAGGCTGACCTGGCCAATCGCTTTGTGATCCAGCTGTCTGGGGGCGGGACAGGTCAGGACCGCTGTCTGTCTCTTGTTTCCATCATTGTGTGAGTGACCTGAGTGATTCGATTTAATATTGAAATCCACCCCTAGTAAAGTTATTTTATGTGCAGAAGTATTTGCTATGGTAATGAGTGGTGCAGGAATGAGTCATAAACCCAGGAATTCGTTAGCATTTAACCACTTCCTGTTCCCTCGTCTAAAAGTCAATGGTTTCTTGAATGTGTTTTTGGTTTAAATAAGGTCTGAGGTTAACACAAGCTGAAGAGATTTTAACGTTTTGTTCTAAGACATATCAGCCCCAAAGGTGAATTCCTGAAGCTTCTATCTGTCTTAAAAAAGGGGCTTGCTAACGAGTAGCTAGATGAGTCTATTAATCGTCACACCCAACGTTAGCCGCCTTTAGCTTAGCGGTGGTGTTGTGAAGTCATGTGACCGTGCTGTCGTTCCTTTATTGCCCAACATTAGCCACCTTTAGCTTAGCGGTGGAGACGTGAAGTCATGTGACCATACTGTAGTTCCTTTATAGCCCAACATTAGCCGAGTTTATAGCAGTAGCTTTTTACTTATTTTAAAAATTATATATATTAAATTATATTATCCAGTTATTATAAAAGCAGTGCTAATGTGTGGAAATTATCCTGCTGTACAAAACAAAAGTATCATAAACGTTTGTTTCCAACAGATCCTATTTTCTGAAATAATCAAAAATCAAAAGTTAAAATCCAATTGGCTTTTTGTCGAAGAAACGCTGGAGATGCTAACCTTCAGTTCGGCCGTCATGAATACATCCTCCCTGCACCATATTATTCTGTTTACCTTCCTTTTGGATGAGGAATGAAAGCGGAATATTTCCATCGTATTTGTGAATGGAAGGTGTTGAAGTGTACGTGTGAGTATACAGTATAGTGTCACCTCTCTGCCTCCTCTCAGATGTGGTAGTGAAGAGTCTGGTCGGTGCGAGGCCTCGCTGGGCGGAGGAGCACCGGCTGAGGCAGTGGCTGAGCGGAGGAGGGAGAACGGGAGGAGGACAGGAGATTTTCACGGTGCAGTGTGAGGACGGACGCCTCAGCGTGAGAGTAGACCAACACATCCTGCAGGTCTTCATACCTCAGTATCAGATCCAGTGTTTGATGTACACAGTTCTTAAAGGTCACCTATGATGCAAAATCCACTTCTTCATGTCTCTTCTACATCAACATGTGTCCCCTCTTCTTCATGTCTCTTCTACATCAACATGTGTCCCCTCTTCTTCATGTCTCTTCTACATCAACATGTGTCCCCTCTTCTCCATGTCTCTCCTACATCAACATGTGTCCCCTCTGTGGAAAGAGACTCTGAATGTTTCAGGAAAAAAGATTCCCTCTCTTTTTGTCCTG